TGCACACAGAGTTTTACGGCCGCACCTCCCAATCCTGGCGTGCAGCATGCGTTGACACGTTAAGGGAGACGTACCCCACAAGCCCTAAAAACTCCGAAAGTTTTGTCCCTTCTTTTTAAAATGAGCGAAGTTAATCGAACTTAACAATATACGCTTTTTATTTTGTTACAAAAATTTAAATAGAATTATATTGAATCGAAAGATTATAAATAAGAGGGGTAGTTGGCATAATTAATGCGTATTTACACTCTAGTAATGCGTTATGACATACTAGTTTCATCAGAAATAACGACGAAGCTAATAACTGGCCTCAATTTCGTTTGATATTTCTGCATTTCAAGCATTTAAACATTACTTAGAAGAAAAAACCATTTCATGAGAATTTAATCGATTCAAATTTTTTGAAGTAAAAAAGTCCATTGTTTATATTTCCTTTTTGTTTTTATTCGTTCATCTCGCATTTCCACCACTCTCTAGTTTTCCCTAACAATTCATTGTTTCGAAGGTCTGTGCATTGTTTAGGCATGGATGTGCTGTGATCAAGTTGTTATTTGTTTACAAAAGCAAATTAACTGGAACTAATGGGGAGCATCTGATTAATAGCTAAATGAACCGTAAATATTCACACTCAAACGAATGTGAAAAGTGCTTTGCCTCGGCTTCTAGTATCTACCTTCCCATTGCTCCTTTCAGCCTCTCTAAATCTCTATTTCTCTATGGCTACCTGCATATTTTTAGACAAGGACCTCTATTTCTTGGCATTGATATCTTATTGTCTTTCTCTTCAAAAGGCAGACTGTTTGTAGCTAGATGTCGTAATATGCACAATTGCTAGCCTGAATCTTAGAGTTTGGAAATGATATTGCCATCGATGTAAATTAACGTTGTTATTAAGTTTATATCCCACTAAGAGGCATATAACACAATGCTGACAGAGAGATTAAATATTATTTCATTGACAATAATAATGAAATGGAAAATGTAAGTGAGTTTCTTAATGAAGTCGAAAAATCTGTTTCGGAGGGACTATTTGTCATGTTGCATAGAATGAGAGCTGATCCTACAAAAAGAATTAAATAGAGTAATTAATAGACTATTTCCTACCTATTACAACTGCTTGATAAGGAAAATAGCTGCTACAATTGCTCCGATTTCAAGTAGAGCGAGAATGGCAATCACAGCGCCGAAAGCAAGTAAATTTTTACTTATCCATGCATAAATTACATCGACGCAGCCCTATTAAAATAAAACATTTCTTCACTAAAGAAACGGAGCAGACCTCGCGGTTATAGTGTGCGCATCGTTGAATAGGTAGTTTACAGCAACTTCGACATGGATAAGGCCAGTCATCTGATCCTTTTGCTCCACAACACTTAAACTGAAATATATTTTAGAAATATAATGTGATATGTAAGAAATAATAATAATAAAATATTTAATATAGGGAATCATTACAGCATCTTGCGTTTTCCTCAAGAGAAACTCTGTACTTGTATTTTTGGATTTTCCAATGCTTCGAATAGCATCTCCGAAGTACTTGGCGAGTCCCTCTTTAAACTAAATGTATAAATATACATATAATCTTTAAAGCATTAATAATCTTACCTTGGATTTGTAGACAAAGAGCAGACTACCGACAACTATTTCTGCCAAAATGATTATGCCCATTGCAACGGCGAACTAGACGAGTAAAACTACATTTAAGTATTAAATTTTATCCTACCGCGATGAGTATACCACGACTCATTTTTATAGCCCCACAGATCCCCAAAACTCCGACGGCTAGCACAATTAGTCCGACAATAGTGATTAAGACGGGGATTAAAGTAGACGCACCGGAGAATCCAAACAATCTTGATTCAACCAAAAGGAATATTCCAAAACCGGCCATAACAATACCGGCAATCTTAGCATCACTAGAGGACTGTAAAAAGAACAACTTACAAAGACGACAATGTTGAATGCAATAAAACATATTTTCAAACAATTCTCTGTAAACCCCATAGTGGTAGGCAAATTTTGTAAAACTAATTGTTTGACTGGTATTTGTAGTAGGATGTCATCCTTATAATTATCTACTCTTTTAAATGACCTGTACTCTTCCAATCAAATTGTGCTAGAGTTGATATGATATTTGTTGCAAGTTCCAATTGGTTAGTAGTTCGATTAATGCTATTACTGCTGTAAAATTTAGTATCTCCACTATCCCACACCCGAATATATTGCTCCATGCATATTATGATTTGAGGCACAGAGCTGACGGTATTCTCACTGATGAATCATGACTGCTATTATTATTCGATTTGGGGATCCATTAGAGTCTTCAATAACATTGTGACCCCCCCCCCCATTTTATCGAAGAAGATGAGTTAAGATTGAGGATACAGTTCGAGATGCCTTCATTTTCATCTGAGCCATTGAGCTAAAGTACGCTTCTGACGAACTATTCGATGCAATCACCAGAGAAGAAGTCAGATTTATCATTGTATTCTCCTAAAGAGAGGTTAACATCCTTTTTATTTTTTTCCTCTGAAGGTGACTCATTTGGTTTAGGTATAGATGAGAGGTTAATAAAAGCATAAGTTTATACGTATTAAATAGTCAGTATAAGCTAAGGCAATGACTTTATCGCACCTAATCTCAGAAATACTATTAGATAATTGTTGAGAAAACACTATAGGCACTGTTCCCCAGACCCAAAAGAAAGAATGCATAGGACCTGTGACTCTCTACGGAGCATAATTAAGAGAAAATTTAATGAAAAATCACCATACACTAAATAATTACATGATTTACAAATAGATGAGGACAAAGAGACTCATTTTTATGATCACTCGAGAAGTCAGATATCTGTACGTAATCAGCCTGAAAATTAGCTGAATGCATAGAAGGCACTACATCAGTGGTGTCCGCATTATTTCCATCGATTTCGACGTCCGCAGTACATGAGCCTTCCTTCTCATTGGTCATGGTGAGATCGATTGAAAAGGCGGTCTTTAACGCTTCGTCTGCATTCTCCTGCTCTACACCACTACCACTACGACTTCCCAATCCACTTTGAGGTGAAGAAAATACAGAATACGGTCCCTTTTGCCGCTGAAATAAAATGGCATATTTAAGTAGAGAACTGATGATGTGAATAAAGCTGTCGAGGTTGATAAGAGCTCGAAATAACTATTGAAGACAAGCATTCGTTTAGTATTTGTGAGAAAAAAGGAATCTTCTTGAAGATTATACCTTTTTCTTGATCAAAAAACCAATTAGTGCAAATGATCTATCATCAGAATTTGAATTGAAGTTGGGCTGAGCCTAATGGTAGCAGTCTTTTGAGTAGGTAAAAATCCCACCAAACGCTAAAGTAAGGATGCTGATTATGGTCCAGGAAATGGCCCATATTACTGAGCCGGCAGTTCGGTTTATGTGAAACAGCCTCACCGCCATCTACATCCACAGATTAAATGTATTCAACATCACAGTCAACTTTAAATTGTGCCACGTTGTGGGTGGACTTTAACGATTCAAGAATAGATTGCAACCTTTAGGGCATTAACATTGTTGACGAATTAGTAAGTATAATCAATTATAAGTATCATATCTGACTTGTATCATGAATACTAAGTGGATACATTTGCTTTGCTTTTATAAGGGTTCTAGTGCAGAAGCGTTTTAAATTACAAGCGTGCACACTGTTATTTAATCGATTTGAGTGAAATTCTTGGCATTATCCAAAGTGACACCCACTACTTATGCACTTTTAGTAGAATGAATTAATCTTAAAATAACAAAATGATTTAATCTGGAATACGTATGGCCTCGCAGCTGTCTCGGATCTGGCCTGTATACTGGTCCCTTGGGGCCGCTTTGGGGAGTCAGGTGGTGGCTACGAATCTTTGTGAGGTGAGGGATGCCTTAGACCATTTAAAAAAGAGCTTTAGTTGTCTGTCGTCACTGGACTATCACTCCGGTCGTGAGCTGATGCAACCAAAGGCAAAGCAATTAAAAGAAAATGTATAATCAAACAGTGGTTTTGAGTCTATAATTATTAAAAAAAACTCCCAAAACATGACTTGAAGATGCAATTAGTTCTCCTAAAGAAGACAGTGCCGTCGGAAGCACAATGAAAGTGATGCCTGCAACTGCATGTTGATGGACACTAAAGTGATCGGGGAAAGGAAATTGGAATATATGTTGAAAATGATATGGAAATTGGCATGCAAACTTAATTCTGCATCCATAGAGGCATTAAGAAGTTTGGTTGCGTAAGTAAATAAATAAAATTCATTTATTTATATCAAATGGCAGGCGTTTTGATAGTTACCATTAGTCCTTTAGTTGAACAAAGTCTGTTGGATACACTTAAAGCTGCTTAATATATATTTCGTGAAAAAGAACTCTCTCCAGGCTCAGAAAGTGTCAAAATTTTACAAATTTTACAATGTCATCAATTCTGCATCAACAAATTAAAGCTATAAAATATGACATGGAGCAATAGATGAGAGTTGAAATTGAAATATGGAAAAGGGCTCTTTACAAGCAATGCATTACGCGAACTTCGAATACCCCTTAATTCCGCCCATCCTTTCAATTCAAAATGTTGCCCATTGCTTCAATATTGCCATACCTCACTCCTTAAACCAATGGAAGTACCAATCGGATACACAGACTTACAAACTTAATGATAGATGAAAAAGCTCTCACAATTCGTTGGCCACAAAACGCTGATTCAGCAAGTGGTCATTTCGGCCTTCTTACCGGTAGGAATCATTTTATCGTTTGCAGATTCGTGGGACCAATGCTCACCAGTGAATATCTACAGATGCTAGCAGATACTTACATTATTTCCTTCAACTCATTAGCGGGAATGACAACATGATTACTGCTCAAATTGATAGCCACGAAATACATTCCCTTATTCGAAATCCACAGTGTTCATGAGAAGTCTATTCTATTCCCTACGCAACGCACAACAAAAGCCATACACTTTTAAAGAAAGGCAAAAGTTCACATTTATGTCGGAGTATAAAAAGCATAGTTTACATATAACATTTTGTAAAATAAAAGAATCGTCGAATTAAAATTGACAGATTGGAATGTGCACAATATGGCAGAGTTGAGGAGGTGATCGGTGAATTGGATAGAAAGAGTAATTTGTGAGACATTAGCAATGTAATTAATAATTAGTGTGCAGGTCTAAACTGCATTACAAATATTTGCGCAGTAATTCATAGAGCTAAGAGAAAGTGAAAAGAACATTTGAACGGAAAAGACGCAGAAGGTCCAGAGCAACTTCAATGTTGCCACATCAAACAGGCTAATGGGCTTTGCTAGTGCCTAACCTATCATAATAAATATGAAGTGTTACCCATATTGATCGGGAAGAACCTACTCTGAAAAAACAACATTCGAATGTCTCTTAGGTCAAAGATAATTAATTCGACATTAGTGAATTTTCAAAACAAGCACTGGTGAATAAGAGAACAAAATGATTCGAGTTTCTCTGCAGGCAAATTCAGTGTCTATATAACTCTGCCTATCATATGAGAAACGCGAACCCTCATGCTAAAGGGCTCTGATGGGGCAGTACTTTCAGTCTGTTTGAAATTATATCTTTTATGTTAAGGAAATAGCATATGAGGCGAATGTTTTCAGATCCCTCCCATCCATCTTAAGCGTGTTCTGTCTTTCTCTACAATTCTAATAGAATATACTCATTTTATTGAAATTCAAATAATTTTACTTGATTATCAATATAATTGCACTGACTTTATTTTCATATAACGAAAAATTTATTGTATTTACACTTAATAGCACTTGATTCAGTCATTAATTATTATTTACCATTTTAAATGGCAATTTGATGTCCAAAACAGTAGAACACGGTCCTTATCGTGTAATAAAAGACCGAATGTAAGCTAAAATTTTCATGCTGAATTAGTAATTATTTCAAATACCCTATCCCCTTTCTCAAAATTATTTTAGAAATTCCATCAGCAATCGCGTTCAAAATGAGCAACCCAAGTACCATAACAACCACTCATAAAATGCAAAATAGAAATCATCGCATCAAAATGAGATCGAGTTCATATGGACAAAGAAAATTTACAGAATCTTGGAGTTACCTGGTGCCATAAGAGCTAGCACACTCGAGTTTTAAAAATTGTGATATCTTAATCGCAGTCATCATGTTCGGCCTGTCAATCCACTTGCGACATCGCCATATATTGAGCTCCAGCAAAAGCCGATATAAACGCAACTTTATTTGTTCGAAGAATGCAGGAGTGCTAGGCATAAAGACTTGAAGTACTTGAGGACTCGCCATATGATAATTGATAGGTTGTGATCTTCCTACAGCCGACCAGTTTTGCTCTCTGAAAACCGACGAGAGTCAAAGGCTAATGCACAATCGTTTACGCATAATACCGTAGGTATAATAGAGGTCACATTGAAGCAAATCAAAATTTAATGGTTCTTGGGATAATATATCTCTCCACCACTTGAAGCAAAACAATGATAATGAAAGCAACATGTACGAAATTGAGAAATACCTAAATAATCTAGATGGCAAAAGAAAAAAATGTATTTTCTGACCATGTGAGTCAATTAAGGTTGATTATAAAAGAGTTTACTGTTGGATTCTGGTATGAAAGATTAGAGACCAAAACTGCAATTTCGAAACAGGTATTTGATGAAATTTTTTACATTCAGACCCAGAGACACCAGTTGCTCCATTAAGAGCCTAGGATAGGGAATGGAATTTGCATTAGGGCAAGATTCATCCAGGCAAGATGAAATAATTAGTATTAAATTGCAGGCAAAGGGAGAGACTGGGGCTTCTTAAAAACTCAGATGTTGACAAATCGGTCAAAATTTAATTTGATTTTCGTGCCTGGATCGGATTAATACCACTGTGATTTGGTCTTGTCTGATTAGTTTATGCTGAAAAATTAATTGTCTGTGCATAAATATTGCTAAAATTTAAGGTGGAAAACATCAATTTGATGCACTCTATGGATTAATAGGCAAAGATATGATTTTATTTGAAAATTAAACGGTTGAGCATTAATTTAATGGCCTCGGACTAACGAAGGTCTGTGAATATCGCGAGAGCAACCAAAATTCCCAGTGATTGCTTAATCCAGTTGCTGAATTTCCTCCAATCTTTTACAAAACATAGCATTTCAAATGCATCTCTCCGATTACCGCGCTTTTAATTGGACAGATTTATTGCCTGATCATTTCATTGTGCAACTGTAATAATTAATTCGAATTCATAAAAAATTTTTAAATAAATCTTCATTTATGAGAAAATGGGGTTTATTTCACGGAGAAACAAATGAAAACCTGATTCTCACAGTGTACTCAATTGAAGTCTTTTAACCCAATACTTCAATCGTCTCATTATAACGATTAATATACTTGAGCATAAATCATCGATCCCTCTCTATCATAAAGCGAAATCGGTGCTTCCTGTAACTAGGAGCATTGCATCAATGGGTGTTGATTTTATCCCTCCAGTAATTAGTCGTAATGCTTGGTTGTGTGCCTTCTCGAGTGGTTTGAGAGTCACCTCTGTGGCTGTAATGAGTGGCTCACAGCAATACAACATTATTGGCTGAATAAACATCTTGTAAGTGGTATTTAGAGTTGAGCGCGCACAGCCCCATACGCTACCAGCAAGACGCTTCAGGGCATTCAGTCTATTGGAGACTCGTTCTGCTATTTTAGCAATGTGACTTTTCCACGTTAGCTTTGTGTCAAACGTCATTCCGAGATAAGTGAACTCATTGGTTTTTTCTATGGTAGAATCCTTGTACTTTAAAAGTGGGTTAATGCTCTGATGGGCCAAAGAAAAAGTTTGAAATGCAGTTTTTGCGGTGTTAATTACCATTCCATCGTTGTCACACCAGTTTGTTAGTAGTTTAAGTGCACTATTAAGAGCACTTTCTGTCCTCTCCTGAGCGTTTTTCTTAGGGGCGGAATACCATAGAACAAGATCATTTGCATAAAGTAAGCACTTGATGCCCGTGACTGTCTGTACCAATTCGGCTACGTCATTGATGAAGACATTGAAAAGAGTGCAGCTTGTGACAGCTCCCTGTGGAAGGCCTGTTTGCAAAAGATTGGATTTTGATAGAGCNCCTATGGCTTTCTGTATTAGACCAGATTGAGTTTTCAGATGTTCTATTCTCAT